GAGATGGGTATGTAACAGCTCTTTCCCATCCAAAATATTCGTAAACTAATATCATAAAGAGGTGTTCAGAGTGAAGATTTAGAATTTCCAAGACAGGGATATTCCCTGTACTTAACGATATTGCAAAACAAATGAAAATATATCCAATTTGGGAACCAGGACCACCCAGAAAAAAGACATGAAACAGCTCGTTCCCACGGCATTTTGCAATAGGTAGAATTCACGAACACAAGGCTGCCCACTTGTCCCAGGTAACAGTATCCAAAATAATTAAGAAAGTTCACCGTTTGGAAAAGTGACACAACTCTCGTGTACACAAATTGCTTCTAAGACATATCCATTCAACCGTCGCATACCTCAAGCAACTGGATAATGTAACCTGTATTCATGCTATTCCATACGAAGACAAACTGGTCAAATTGCCAGATGCAGCACCTATTGATATCTTTGCGGTCAAACAATTGAAACGGGCTCTGGAAAACTGTATCATCCTCACATACAAGATGGCTTATGAAAATCCCGAAGGGAGTGTTGTATACTTTCTTATGAAAGTTTTAGAAAGAGCGTTTTGCTTCATAAACGACGCTGCAGGACTATTGTCATGAAATACGGTCGTCAGATAGACATTACCGGATGCGGTGACATGGACTGTAACAACGTGGTTAGGCTCCAAATTGTTTTAATATAACATTACTCAGTTTCTGTATAATGCTTTTAAAATACTGCAGTTTCCATCTTGAAATCTTATTTGAAAAGGATAGAATAGTCTAAGAGTTGGTGGCGGATAGTGTTGACTAGCTGCCTTCCCTTTATAATCTACCATTTCTTGAAAAGGATAGAATAGTCTAAGAGTTGGTGGCGGATAGTGTTGACTAGCTGCCTTCCCTTTATAATCTACCATTTCTTGAAAAGGATAGAATAGTCTAAGAGTTGGTGGCGGGTAATGTTAACTAGCTGCCTTCCCTTTATAATCTACCATTTCTTGAAAAGGATAGAATAGTCTAATAGCAAATTAAATAAAACTTTTTTAAGAGAACTGGTGTTAGAAATGATCCTTATTTAACACTTACAGCTTTCATTCGTTTAAGAACTGTTGCCCCAGTCAAAACTTCCGTGTACTTGTACTGAATTTTGATTATAAAAAATATCAGCAAAACGTCTTGTTTCGTGAATGTTTAAACCTCAGACTGCTGACTTGCTTTTCCATCATTCATTTCCGGTGGAGCCTACACACTGCAACATTTTATATTTTTATAACAACATTCAGTGTAAGGAAATGATAAAAAAAAAGATGAAATCACCCATCTTCTATTATAATGTCCTACAGTGGGTTGACTGTAAGTTTATAGACATGGAATGTCAAAATCTGGGGTTCGATTATCTTCGGTGGACAGAACAGATAGTCCATTGTGTCCTTTGAGTTAAAACAAACAAACAATTCTGTTGTGATATTTAGAGAGCCAAGAAAAATATTAATTGGTTTAATTGAAATATTAGTAGTAATATCATATAAATAATCACGAATCGTTTGATATTAGGGACGTTGTAACCAATAAAGTCTTATAGACTCAAAAGCAAGTTGGTGCATAATAGTTAATTTCTATTTGTTTAAAAAAAATGTTTAAAAAGCCGAAGAAGTCCACATAGTGACATACATCTCATAAGTAAATCTAGGTTTAAACATAATAATAATCAAATAATCAAATATTCGATTAAATTAACCCAAGTATATGCGGTGGGTGCTGTTGAAATCTGCCTTCCATTTAGTCTATCAATTCGTTGTTCGAGAAGGCTGATGGCGATGCCCATACCGATTCCCAAAATTTTCTAGCTCACAACCCACCTGAGTAGCTAGCCAGTTTTTTGGGGCTCATGTTTAACTGGACGAGTAAAATTATTATTATAATATATTTCAGTAAAGTCTAGTAGTGCTATTATATATATTTGCTATATTTTTCTTGTTCAAAAACAATCTAGGATCATTGTTTTATAGATAATTTTACAATAAAAATATATTTATATTTTACCGTCTTGTTCTACTACTCACTCCGATACCTTTTGTGACCCACAGTTTGAGAATTGCTGAATATTACCGTCTTGTTATGCTACTCACTCCGATACCTTTTGTGACCCACAGTTTGAGAACTGCTGAATCTTCCCGTCTTATTATGCTACTCACTCCGATACCTTTTGTGACCCACAGTTTGAGAACTGCTGAATCTTCCCGTCTTATTCTGCTACCCACCCCGATACCTTTTGTGACCCACAGTTTGAGAACTGCTGAATCTTCCCGTCTTATTCTGCTACCCACCCCGATACCTTTTGTGACCCACAGTTTGAGAACTGCTGATTCGTGTTATTGGAATTCTGTATCAGATTGTTAAATATTTAAACAACAGGCACATACCACTTTTTGGTGTAAGTTTTGGAATATATCAAGTGAAAATTGTATTTATCTATGACGAAAATATAAATATACAAACACATTAATCCTAGAGTATGAATAGTTAAAATAAAAACAAACACTGAAAGCCAAATTGAGCACCGATACACATGTTGTTGTTTTTTTTCTTCTAGAAGAGTGTCTTTCTACATAGTTTTGAAACCACACCTTAGTGCTGTATATTAGCTCGATGTTAATTGGAAAACTGATTTTATTAATCAAAATTTCCGAGCTTCTGTTCCTATGACATCACGAGTCTATTATAAGCTTTTCCAGTTTACATACATACATGCATTTAATTTTTCGGGTACAGTATTTTCCGAGTAGTTCAGTTTTCACAGTGACGTTTAATTATTTAATATTTTCTTGTCAAGGTGAATAAGTAGCCGTTGATGGGGACAGTTCTAACTTTTTTATGTCAATGTTATTAACTAAACAAACAAAAACAAATAATTGATTAACTGACAATAATTACGGGTGGTTAAAGTAATTTTATTACTTCACGATTGATGTGATGAATAGTCACTTAACGAACAAACTAATAACTTCAGTTATGTAAGGAAACTTATGTAAATGTTTGTTTGTTGTTTTGCATCTCGCGCAAGGCTACACGAGTGCTA